GCTTTAAGTCTCTTGATCTCTGAAAAACAAAGAAAGGGTGACATGCTAATAATAGACATGAACCTGAATACTGTGGTGTAAGGAAGAGCCTAGATTATTCTCATCAATCTTTTCCTAAATTAGTGGTTCTCAATTCTTTTGGTATTGAGACCCCTTTATATATATACTGACAAATTATTTAGGACCCTAAAAACTTTGTGTTTATGTAGGTTATAGTTATTATTTACTGTATTAGAAATTAAAAATGAGAAATAAGTTTAATATTTATTTATTTATTTGAGATGGAGTCTTGCTCTGTCACCCAGGCTGGAGTGCAGTGGCGAACTCTCAGCTCATTGCAACCTCCGCCTCCTGGGTTCAAATGATTCTCCTGCCTCAGTCTCCCGAGTAGCTGGGATTACAGATGTGTGCCACCAAACCCAGCTAATTTTTTTATTTTTAGTAGAGAAGGGGTTTCTCCATGTTGGCCAGGATGTTCCTGAACTCCTGACCTCAGGTTATCTGCCCGCCTCAGCCTCCCAAAGTATTGGGATTACAGGCATGAGCCTGTAAAAATACAAAAAAATTGCCCAGCCAAAATATTTATTAATTTATTTTAAAAATAGCAAGGAATTCATTACATGTTAACATAATTTATTTTTATGTTTGGCTTAATAGAAAACAGCTAGAAATCATTGCTGCCTCAGTCCTTCGGCTATTGCGATATCACACATCATGAATCCTCTGAAAAACTCCACTGTACACTCTTTTTTTTTTTTTTTTTTTTTTGAGACGGAGTTTCGCTCTTGTTACCCAGGCTGGAGTGCAATGGCGCAATCTCGGCTCACCGCAACCTCCGCCTCCTGGGTTCAGGCAATTCTCCTGCCTCAGCCTCCCGAGTAGCTGGGACTATAGGCACGTGCCACCATGCCCAGCTAATTTTTTTGTATTTTTAGTGGAGACGGGGTTTCACCATGTTGACCAGGATGGTCTCGATCTCTTGACCTCATGATCCACCCGCCTCAGCCTCCCAAAGTGCTGGGATTACAGGCGTGAGCCACCGCGCCCGGCCACTGTACACTCTTGAGAGAAAGAATGTTAAAAAAAAAAAAAGTAAATAACGTCACAGAATTACTGTGAAAATCATTCTGACTTCAAGACTTCTGAAAGAATCTCAGACTTCCAGGGAGTTCTAAACCATAGCACCAGTAAGATTTTGAGAACCTTCTTTTTGGGCCACGCATGGTGTAATCCTAACACACCTGCAATCCTAATACTGTGGGAGGCCGCCTGTAATCCTAACACTGTGTGAGGCTGAGGCGGGCGGATCACTTGAGGCCAGGAGTTCAAGACCAGCTTGGCCAACATGGTGAAACCCCATCTCACAAAAATACAAAAATTAGCTGGACATGGTGGCAGCACCCATGGTACCAGCGCCTGTGGTACCAGCTACTCAGAAGGCTGAGGCAGGAGAATTGCTTGAACCTGGGAGGTAGAGATTGCAGTGAGCTGAGATCATGCTAGTGCACTCCATCCAGCCTGGGTGACAGAGCAAAGCTCTGTCTCAAAAAAAAAAAAAAAAAAAAAAAAAAGAAAGTTTTTTTCTAAGACCCAAAGGTCCCAACTATACATATTAAGAAGGATAAGGCCAGGTACGGTGGCTCACGCTTGTAATTCCAGCTCTTTGGGAGGCTGAGGCAGGTGGATCATGAGGTAAGGAGTTCAAGACCAGCCTGGCCAAGATGGTGAAACCCTGTCTCTATTTAAAAACAAATAAATAAGCTGGGTGCAGTGGCTCAAGCCTGTAATCCCAGCACTTTGGGAGGCCAAGGCGGGTGGATCACGAGGTCAAGAGATTGAGACCATCCTGGCCAACATGGTGAAACCCCATCTCTACTAAAAATAGAAAAAAAAAAAAAAATTAGCCGGGCGTGGTGGCATGCACCTGTAGTCCCAGCTACCTGGGAGGCTGAGGCAGGAGAATTGCTTGAATCCGGGAGGCAGAGGCTGCAGTGAGCCGAGATCGTGCCACTGCACTCCAGCCTGGTGCCTGGCGACAGAGTGAGACTCTGTCTCAAAAAAAAAAAAATTAAATAAATAAATAAATAAATAAATAAATAAATAAATTTCCTATGAAGTGTGGCCAGAAGAGAAAATTAAATAAATAAAAATAAATAAAAAATAAGGATAAACATTTCTGAATAGGAATTTATAGAATATATAGTAGTGATGAAAAAAGCAGATTACTAAACTACATATACAATATTCTGAGATAAATACTTTTACTTAATTGTTTTTAGGTTTGAAAATAATTCCTCTTATTATTTATAAAATAGAAAAATGTTTCAAAAAGAGAAAAGCTGAGGCAGGAGAATTATTTGAACCCGAGAGGTGAAGGTTGCAGTGAGTTGAGATCGGGCCATTGCACTCCAGCCTAGGCAACAAGAATGAAACTCCGTCTCAAAAAAAAAAAAAAAGTACATCTATTCAATACAACATTATACAGCCATTTCAAAATAGTATTACATAGAAATTAAGATATATATTATGTTTTAAAAATTGCCACAGATTTTTGTGTGGACAAAAATTATAGCAGGTTATAAAACAGCCATTCTTGTGTATACAGGTTTATATTCAGCCTGGGCAAACTAGTGAAACCTCATCTCTACAAAAAATTTTTTTAAAAAATAGCTTCGGTCAGGCATGATGTCTCATGCCTGTAATCCTAGCACTTTGGGAGGCAGAGGCAGGTGGATCACCTGAGGGCAGGAGTTCGAGACCAGCCTGGCCAACATGGCAAAACTCTGTCCCTACTAAAAATACAAAAATTAGCCAGGCATGGTGGCGCATGCCTATAATCCCAGCTAGTTGGGAGGCTGAGGCAGAAGAATTCCTGGAACCCAGGAGGCAGAGACTACAGTGAGCCGAGATCACACCATTGCACTCCAGCCTGGGCAACAGAGTGAGACTCTGTCCCCACCCAAAAAAAAATTAGCCAGGCATCATGGTGTATATCTGTAGTCCCAGCTACTTGGAAGGCTAAGGTGGGAGGATCACTTAAGCACAGCAGGTCAAGGCTGTAGTGAGCTGTGACTGTTCCACTGTACCTCAGCCTGGGCAACAGTGTAAGACCCTGTTTCAAAAAAATAAAAATTCATATATACAAATATAAAAATGTTTGTATAACTATTACAGAAAGTAAAAATCTTGATGAATATACACTACATTTGAGACAGACAGTAATTTTACATTTTATACAGAGTAAAATGTATTTTTACTTTATATTTTATACCTGTGTATTTTTGAAATTTTTCCAATGACAATGTAGTATTTCATTTTGTTTTTCTTTGTTTTTGTTTCACCGTGTTGGTCAGGCTGATCTTGAACTCCTGACTTCAGGTGATCCACTCACCTCAGCCTCCCAAAGTGCTGGGATTACAGGCATGAGCCACCATGCCCAGCCATTGTTTTCTAATACCTAGCACAATGCCTAGCACAAAATACACACTCAACAGGTAGGAAGGAACGATAGACTAGGGGAAGAGATGCAGGGAGAGGGAGAGACAGGAAAGAAGCTGGAGAAAGGGAGTAAGAGGAAGGGAATGAAAGGGGGAGTGAGAAAAATTCTAATACCTGCAGTACAGTTCAGATGAGCTTTGAAAAGGTAATACATGGGCCGGGTGCAGTGGCTCAATGCCTGTAATCCTAGCACTTTGGGAGGCCGAGGTGGGAGGATCACTTTAGGAATTGGAGACCAGCTTGGCCAACATGGTGAAACCCTGTCTCTATTAAAACTATAAAAAGTAGCTGGGCATGGTGGCACATGCCTGTAATCCCAGCTACTTGGGAGGCTGAGGCAGGAGAATCACTTGAACCCGGAGGGTGGAGGTTGCAGTGAGCTGAGATTACACCACTGCAATCCAGCCTAGATGTCAGAGCAAGGCTCTGTCTCAAAAAAAAAAAAAAAAAAAAAAAAAAAAAAAAGGGCAATAAATTAATATCATCTTTGGATATATTCTCTCAAAAGAATTTCCACAATTACTCAGGTCTGCTATATGCTGGTTTAGACAACAGTAATTTACCTTATCATTAAAGAAGATTATAGTTATTAAGACTCTATTTTAAGAGGCAAAAGATCTTTATATGACTACCTTCATTTTGAAGCAGCATGTTAGTAAGCAACTGAAAAATAGAGGGAACATATTAAATTCTTTATGGAGAACCCATAATGCCTAAGCCTTATGTCTTATACATAAAATACTGTCATATTAAGATGGTAAAAAAAAGTTATTGTATAATTGTATTTTACAAAAATTAAATTCTGGCCAGGTGTGGTGGCTCACGCCTGTAATTCTAGCACTTTGGAAGGCTGAGGTGGGTGGATCAGCTGAGGTTAGGAGTTCAGACCAGCCTGACCAACATGGCGAAACCCCATCTCTACTAAAAATACAAAAATTAGCCAGGCATGATGGCGCATGCCTGTAGTACCAACTACTTGGGAGGCTGAGTGAGATAGGAGAATCGCTTGAATGAAGGAGGTGGAGGCTGCAGTGAGCCGAGATTGTGCCACTGCACTCCAGCCTGGCTGACAGAGAGAGATTCCATCTCAAAAACAAACAAACAAACAAACAAAAAACACCAAAAAAAAAAAAAATTCCCTTGATTTTGATAATTGTTTTGAAGTTATATAAGAAAATGTCCTTAGGAAATATATAGCAAAGTAGTTATGGGAAAAGGAGCATAGAGCCTACAACATACTTTCAAATGATTATGAAAAATACAAAAATAGTGTATGGATGAGCACACATATAATAGAGAAAGTAAAGAGAGGAAAAGAAAAAAAGAAATGAAGCAAAACATTAACAATTGCGAATGTGGGAATGGATATACATACCATTCTTGCAACTCTTCTTAAGTTTGAAATTACATCAAAATAAAATGTTACCCAAAAAGTTCATGCTAACATACATACAAATACAGAGTAATAGTTATTATGCAAAAGCTTATAAAAGGACACTCACATGGAATTGAACATTCCCATTAGGGCAGTGAAACAAAAGCCAATTGCAAACATGGATTTCATTCGAACCTGTAATGAGACAAACAAATTGTCATTTTACATTTAAAAAAACATATCTAAAGCATACCTCAAAAGTTTTGGTTTCATGTCATTTTTTTAAAAAGAACTCCTTAGCAAAAGCTATAGCTGTTTTGGCTAACCCACCCTTCACCTCCAGTTCCTCTTCTTACCATCTGGTGAGGAAGAATATTGGGGTGGCTTTGTGGCCCAATTCTGGCCAGTGAGTTAATAAGTACTAACAAAACGTCTCTCAGTAAGTAAAAGAGAACTGTTGCACAGTTTAGATGTCCTGTGTTAAATACACAGAAGTGAAAAATCAATCAAGCTATATAAATAGCCTATCTATGCTTTAGGAAGATATGTCTGAATAAAGTCTACTCTTTATAAATAATGAGGAAATGGGTAATGAAGTCACTTTTCCTTATACTTCATAGTATGCCAGATACTGAGAACAAAAGGTCTCTTAAAGAACAAAAGAGGCAGGCACAGTAGCTTCCACCTATAATCCCAGTACTTTGGGAGGCCAAGGCAGGTGAATGGCTTGAGTCCAGGAGTTCAAGACCAGCCTGGGCAACATAGTGAGACCCCATCTCTACAAAAAATACAAAAATAAGCCAAGCATGGTGACACACGCCTGTAGTCCCAGTTACTTGGGAGGCTGAGGTAGGAGAAGCACATAAGCCCAGGAGGCAGAGGTTACAGTCGGCCAAGACAGAGTCACTACACTACACTCCGGCCTTGGTAATAGAGTAAGATTCTGTCTCAAAAAAAAAAAGATTGAGTATTGTGCAGTGGCTCACACCTGCAATCCCAACACTCTGGGTAGCTGGGGCTGAAGGATCGACTGAAATTCAAGATCAGCGTAGGCAAGATGGCAAGACTTCATCTTTACAAAAAAAGAAAAAAAATTTAAAAATTAGCTGGGCATGGGGTGTAGTCCTGTAGTCCCAGCTACATGGGAGGTTGAGACAAGAGGATCCCTAGGGCCCAGGAACTCACAGTGGCAGTGAGCTATCATCAGGCTACTGCATTCCAGCCTGGGTGACAAAGCAAGACCCTGTCTCTCAAAACAAAAAAAGGAAAAGAACCAAGGACAGTAATAAAAGCCATTTATAATGTTCCAGCTCCTACATTGGGATTGCACATATGACTATAAAATCAAAGATTTGCCGGGCGCAGTGGCTCAAGCCTGTAATCCCAGCACTTTGGGAGGCCGAGGCGGGTGGATCACGAGGTCAAGAGATCGAGACCATCCTGGTCAACATGGTGAAACCCCGTCTCTACTAAAAATACAAAAAATTGGACGGGCATGGTGGGGCATGCCTGTAATCCCAGCTACTCCGGAGGCTGAGGCAGGAGAATTGCCTGAACCCAGGAGGCGGAGGTTGCGGTGAGCCGAGATCATGCCATTGTACTCCAGCCTGGGTAACAAGAGCAAAACTCCATCTCAAAAACAAACAAACAAACAAACAAACAAACAAACAAAAAAACAAAAAAACCCAAAGATTCAGCATTAACATAAGGAAGAAAAAAAGAAATAAACTATTTCATTTGAAAACCTAAGAGGGAACTAAGAACTGTGTGAAGAGGAAAAATCATGACCTCTGAGACAGTCTTAAAAAAAGCTATTTATAGTATTAAGATGAAGTTTAAGAGCAGGAGCATATTTTACTTCTATTTGGTCCAGGAACACCCATGATATTATTTATAGCCTTCATAGGTGATAGATTACTGAAAAGGTTAAGTGCAATGCATTTGATGCAAATCAGTCCTTTGCTAAAAACATTATGTGGTTTACCATGAAGTTATATTTAGGACTCTTACCATTGATAGATCTCTGTTGTTATTCTTCAATTTCTCTTCTTGTCTCTCTGCAAAGAATTAATGAGATGGTTAATACATAAAATGCTGAGCACAGAGCAGTTGTTAAATAAATTGTCACTGTTTGGTGATTACAAAAGCACTCTGTCTCAATATCATTTAATAAGATGATGAAAACATCTGGGATATTATATATTTTGTACTCAGAATTTTTTTTTAAAATTACCTCTGGTATTAAATGTCTTAACTCTATACATTAATATATATGCTTATATTACATCAATGGGAATTGCCAATCAGGTAATTTGCAAGTATAACATAATGATTGTATTTAGGTGTCTCAAATCAGTTATCCTTCTCTTACATTTTCTCCCTTTTTTCAATTTGTCTAAAATGGCATATAGTCTAAAATTATCAGCCAGTTGATAGGATGAGCTTAAAATCCAGAGTCTAGCTGGGAGATCCCAGTATTTTGGGAGGCCGAGGTAAGAAGATCGCTTGAGGCCAGGAGTTCAAGACCATCCTGGACAACATGGCAAGACCCTGTCTCTACAAAAACAATTTACAAATTAGCCAGCCATGATGGTGTGCCCTGTAGTCCCAGCTACTCGGGAGGCTACAGTGGGAGCATCACTTGAGCCCAGGAGTTTGAGGCTGCAGCGGACCATGAACATGCCACTGTGCTCCAGCCTGGGTGACAGGGTGAGACTGTTTCAAAACAAAAACAAAAAACTATGCATTCTCTAAGTAGTCAACGTTTGGAATACAACCTCTATGAAATTTCAGGAAATTTCATGGAGACAATAATCTGGAAATATGCAGAAGATACATTTATATTCTAGAATGATTTCTTTTCCAAGGTGACTAGCAAAAGGGAAAATTAAAATTCAGAAAAGGAATACTCCAAATTGGAGGCTACATTTCTTGCAGCTATTGGAATAAACAATGATGGAATTGCTACTATTGGAATAAATAGCAATGATTATATCCATTCTGACCACAGAGTAAATAGGCCCTCAGCCAATCCAAATAACACAGAAAAAGGCCTACAATAAATGTATAAATTCAGGGCCCCAAATATATTAAATTTCAAAAATTCCTCTCATATTTAAATCCAAGTCTTGAAGAAAAGAGACCAGATGTGGTAACCCACACCTGTATTCCCAGCTCTTTGGGATGCTGAGGTAGGAGGCTCACTTGAGCCCAGGAGTTCAAGGGTAACATAGAGAAACCCCAACCCTACAAAAAAACTTAAAAATTAGCCAGGCATGATGGCATATGACTATAGTCTGAGCTATTGGAGAAGCTGAGGCAGGAGGAGTTTGGGGTTGGCCATGAACATGCCACTGTACTTCAGCCTGGGGTGACAGAGGGCAACCCTGTCTCAAAAACAAAAACAAAAAAACAAAACAAAAAGAAAAGAGATACTTATCTCACTCAGTCAAGCTTCAGAATGTTGTAGATAATGTTTTCAAATATATTCCATGCTAGTACTACAAGTTATATTACATGTGGCTGAATTTTTCATAAGCCTAACAATTTCTGATGGTCTGACTTAATCTAGGATTATGTACAAATGTAGAGAATGGATAGATTGTCTTTCAAGCAACTCGTCATAAATATTACATCTCATAATTTCTAATAAGATTTTGATAAGCAACTCTTCATAAATATTATTTCTTTTTTTTTTTTGAGACAGAGTTTCGCTCTTGTTGCCCAGTTTGGAGTGCAATGGCACGATCTCAGCTTACTGCAACCTCTGCCTCCCGGGTTCAAGTCATTCTCCTGCCTCAGTCTCCCAAGTAGCTGTGATTACAGTCATGCACCACCACGCCTGGCTAATTTTCGTATTTTTAGTAGAGAGGGCGTTTCACCATGTTGGTTAGGCTGGTCCCAAACTTCTGACCTCAGGTGATCCACCTGCCTCGGCCTCCCAAAATGCTAGGATTATAGGCGTAAGCCACTGTGCCCGGCCATAAATATTATTATTATTATTTTTTTTTTTTTTTTGAGATGGAGTTTCGCTCTTGTTGCCCAGGCTGGAGTGCAATGGCGCGCTCTCCGCTCACCGCAACCTCTGCCTCCTGGGTTCAGGCAATTCTCCTGCCTCAGCCTCCTGAGTAGCTGGGATTACAGGCACACGCCACCATGCCCAGCTAATTTTTAGTATTTTTAGTAGAGACGGGGTTTCACCATGTTGACCAGGATGGTCTCGATCTCTTCACCTCGTGATCCACCTGCCTCAGCCTCCCAAAGTGCTGGGATTACAGGCTTGAGCCACCGCGCCCGGCATATTATTTCTTATAACTTCTGATGAGATTTTTTTTGGGTGAGCAAACAATTCAGGGTTGCACTCCATGTTAAAATCATTTGAATTCAGATACTTTGCGTTGCCAATTTAAAGGCAGAGGGTAACCTGTCCTCCATTCTTATATCCCTCCTATTCTTTATAGCAAAGGTACTTGAAGGAGTTGTCCACGTTCAATGTCTTCATTTCCTCACCATGCATTATCTCCTTAATCTATATGATCTGGCTTCTGTCCCCCATCATGCCACTGAAACCAGTTTTGCTAAAAGCACTAATAACCTCCATTTCTTAGATACTTACCATCATCGATCAGGCCCTTCCTCCTCGCTGAAACTCTTCTCTCAACTTCTGTCACACTACTACTTTCCAACTTCTCTGGCAATACTGTTTCAGAACTTTACTTCCGTTGTTCCTTAAATTTCTGTTCCTCAAGACTCTCAGATGGCACGGTGGCTCATCCCTGTAATCCCAGCACTTTGGGAGGATGAGGTGGGTGGATCACCTGAGGTCAGGAGTTCGAGACCAGCCTGGTAACAGGGCGAAACCCTGTCTCTACTAAAAATTCAAAAATTAGCTGGGCGTGGTGGTGCATGTCTGTAATATCAGCTATTCGTGAGGCTGAGGCAGGAAAATTGCTTGAACCTGGGAGGCAGAGGTCGCAGTGAGCCGAGATGGCACCATTGCACGTCAGCCTGGGCAACAAGAACGAAACTTTGTCTCAAAAAAAAAAAAACAAGGCCGGGCGCAGTGGCTCAAGCCTGTAATCCCAGCACTTTGGGAGGCCGAGGCGGGTGGATCACGAGGTCGAGAGATCGAGACCATCCTGGTCAACATGGTGAAACCCCGTCTCTACTAAAAATACAAAAAACTAGCTGGGCATGGTGGTGCGTGCCTGTAATCCCAGCTACTTAGGAGGCTGAGGCAGGAGAATTGCCTGAACCCAGGAGGCGGAGGTTGCGGTGAGCCGAGATCGCGCCATTGCACTCCAGCCTGGGTAACAAGAGCGAAACTCCGTCTCAAAAAAAAAAAAAAAAAGAAAGAAAAAAAAAAAACAAGCTAACAAACAAAAAAGTACTTACCATCCTGCACAGTAATCATTTATTTCCTGGTCTATTTTCCCTCTCTAAACAGAGCTTATAAAAATAGAATATTGCCGGGCGCGGTGGCTCAAGCCTGTAATCCCAGCACTTTGGGAGGCCGAGGCAGGTGGATCACGAGGTCAAGAGATCGAGACCATCCTGGTCAACATAGTGAAACACCGTCTCTACTAAAAATACAAAAAAATTAGCTGGGCATGGTGGCACGTGCCTGTAATCCCAGCTACCCAGGAGGCTGAGGCAGAAGAATTGCCTGAACCCGGGAGGCGGAGGTTGCAGTGAGCCGAGATCACGCCATTGCACTCCAGCCTGGGTAACAAGAGCAAAATACTCCGTCTCAAAAAAAAAAAAAAAAATAGAATATTTTTCTACTTTGTTTCTCCAATGCCTTTAGGATTAACTGACACATATAAATTAAATGTTCAATAGCATTTTGCCGTAGAATTAAATGAACAGACCATTTAAAAAATATCTGGGATCCTTACAATAACTGAAAAACTTTAATCAGAACAGGACATTGGCATAGTCTAATCTCATGGAATTCTCCCCTGGGCTGTAACAACAGTGACCTAGGTATATAGATACAGTTTCTGGAACAAATACACAATCTCACAACAATTTTTTCTCCTGATTTGAGAATCAAGAAATGTCATAACATATAAAAACAAATTGTATATAATCTTTTATAAATTGTCTTTCAGAAACAGAATTAAATTCTAAGTTATACTAAAAAAGTAAAAGCATATGATATGATCGTTATTTCTCAAAGTAGATCAAAACTACTCAGCAGAAATTTCCTACCCCTTGGTGGATTTCCATCACTAGTCAATTCTCAGTAAAGAAGCCATGGAAATGGCTGGGCACGGTGGCTCAAGCCTGTAATCCCAGCACTTTGGGAGGCCGAGGCGGGTGGATCACGAGGTCGAAAGATCGAGACCATCCTGGTCAACATGGTGAAACCCCGTCTCTACTAAAAATACAAAAAAAAAAAAAACTAGCTGGGCGTGGTGGTGCATGCCTGTAATCCCAGCTACTTAGGAGGCTGAGGCAGGAGAATTGCCTGAGCCCAGGAGGCGGAGGTTGCGGTGAGCCGAGATCGTGCCATTGCACTCCAGCCTGGGTAACAAGAGCGAAACTCCGTCTCAAAAAAAAAAAAAAAAAAAGGCCGGGCGCGGTGGCTCAAGCCTGTAATCCCAGCACTTTGGGAGGTCGAGGCGGGTGGATCACGAGGTCGAGAGATCGAGACCATCCTGGTCAACGTGGTGAAACCCCGTCTCTACTAAAAATACAAAAAAATTAGCTGGGCATGGTGGCGCGTGCCTGTAGTCCCAGCTACTCAGGAGGCTGAGGCAGGAGAATTGCTTGAACCCAGGAGGCGGAGGTTGCGGTGAGCCGAGATCATGCCATTGCACTCCAGCCTGGGTAACAAGAGCGACATTCTGTCTCCAAAAAAAATAAATAAATAAATAAAATAAAATAAAATAAAATAAAAAAAAGAGATCGAGACCATCTGGTCAACATGGTGAAACCCTGTCTCTACTAAAAATATAAAATAGTAGCTGGGCATGGTGGCACATGCCTGTAATCCGAGCTACTCAGGAAGCTGAGGCAGGAGAATTGCCTGAACCCAGGAGGTGGAGGTTGCGGTGAGCCGAGATCGCGCCATTGCACTCCAGCCTGGGTAACGAGAGAAACTCCGTCTCAAAAAAAAAAGAAGCCATGGAAACAATGAACACAAGTAACTCAGACTTAAGTGGAAATAATCATCTCAGATATAAAAAAAACAATATGCTTTTACAAACTGTGCCAAAAGCCCTAAGCCATGTTCAAAAACCACAACTGTCATTTTACAAAACTCAAAATTTAAAAGCTAAGGGCAAAAATAGAGGCACTGTTTAAATTTGTCCTGTACACCTCACAAAATGGGTGAGAATCAAGTGTGATAAAGTATGCACGTGCTTTATAAACCATAAAAATAACAGAAACATGAGCTATCACTATTTTTTTTTTTTTTTTTTTTTTTTTTTTTTTTTTTTGAGACGGAGTTTCGCTCTTGTTACCCAGGCTGGAGTGCAATGGCGCGATCTCGGCTCACCGCAACCTCCGCCTCCCGGGTTCAGGCAATTCTCCTGCCTCAGCCTCCTGAGTAGCTGGGATTACAGGCACGCGCCACCATGCCCAGCTAATTTTTTGTATTTTGAGTAGAGACGGGGTTTCACCATGTTGACCGGGATGGTCTCGATCTCTTGACCTCGTGATCCACCCGCCTCGGCCTCCCAAAGTGCTGGGATTACAGGCTTGAGCCACCGCGCCCGGCCGAGCTATCACTATTAATAATTTTATTATATTTTCATTATCTAAGAATTTTTTTCCAAGAAAACCCAAATTTCATTTTGATATCTCATCTTACCTATTTTCTTTTTCTGTTGTCGACCAGCTGACTCTGTTATTGTTTCCTTCTTCTTTTCCACTGTAAACAACATAGTAACACAGTAAAAATTAACTTCATTATACTGAAGAAACAAAGGATGCTTTATCACAGATGAACTGATGAAAGAAGCTTATAAGAAAGTTACACACTGACTTTGATTATGGTCACGATTAAGCTAACTGGTCTGCTATCACAGCTACTGATGGTAAAAAGTAGGCACAATATTCTAAGAATGAAACAATAATTATAAGCATGATTAGTCAAATACCCATAAAGAATTGTATTGATACAATCATAATGAAAACAGACTATCAGCTGAGGATGATTACCTTCGCCAGTGTGAAAGCACCATTTTCAAATTCTCCCTCTCAGATAACTAGGGTTAATTGTCACTCCATTCTCTTATGACAGAAGGTAGAAATTTATTCACTCAGTTATTGGTTGCCTAAGTAACTTCAGGCAGATGAAAAAAATATGATCCCTATCTTCTAAAGAATAATCTAGTCAGGGGAGATAATCAAATGACAATTACAGTAAAGTGTCAAGATCAGGCGTCCCCAAACTACGGGCCCACGGGCTGCATGCAGCCCCCTCAGGCCATTTATCCGGCCCCCTGCCGCACTTCAGGAAAGGGCACCTCTTTCACTGGTGGTCAGTGAGAGGAGCACAGTATGTGGCAGCCCTCCAATGGTCTGAGGGACAGTGAACTGGCCCCCTGTGTAAAAAGTCTGGGGACGCCTGGTCAAGATAGATATATGCACACTGCAGGAAAATCAGGAGAGGCAAAAAAAGCTAAGACCGGCCAGGCAAGGTAGCTCACACCTATAATCCCAGCACTTCGGGAGGCTGAGGTGGGCGGATCATCTGAGGTCAGAAGTTTGAGACCAGCCTGGCCAACACATAGTGAAACCCTGTCTCAAATTAGCTGGGCGTTTTAGCAGATGCCTCTAATTGCAGCTACGTTGAAGCTGAGGCAGGAGAATCCTGGATTTTGCAGTGAGTCGAGATAGTACCACCCTACTCCATCCTGGGCAACAGAGTGAGACTCTGTCTCTCAAAAAAAAAAAAAAAAAAAAAAAAAGCTAAGACCAATTTTTCTGATGCATTTCAATTACTATCATGATTAAGTAACAGTAAGCTTTCGAAAAATAGTGTGATATATATTTATAATATTATTTTTACTATCCTTAATTATCTGTAAATGGACTAGGGAGATGTCAAAAATTACTTTTACTTAGTTTATATTTTCTGTTACCCCTATTATCTCAGTATACTAATAGCAAACAGTACAGTAGAGGGATTATTTCTAAAACTTACATTAAAAAGAATTAGCAGGTAGAGCACTTTCCCTTAGTACGTGAAGTTTGTCCCTGAATTCTTTTCTTTTTTGAGACGGAGTTTCCCTCTTGTTACCCAGGCTGGGGTGCAATGATGCGATCTTGGCTCACTGCAACCTCCACCTCCTGGGTTCAGGCAATTCTCCTGCCTCAGCCTCCTGAGCAGCTGGGATTTCAGGCACGCGCCACCAAACCCAGCTAATTTTTTGTATTTTTAGTAGAGACGGGGTTTCACCATGTTGACCAGGATGGTCTCAATCTCTTGACCTCATGATCCACCTGCCTCGGCCTCCCAAAGTGCTGGGATTACAGGCGTGAGCCACTGTCCCTGAATTCTAAAAGCAAAATTGATATAAAAGCAAAATTGGTATCACTGCTTTATCCAAGAGTTGTAAAATTCAATTTGACTCCAATACTGCAAATGAAATTTCTGCTGGCCAAAATAAAACATGGTGTGTGTGTGTGTGTGTGTGTGTGTGTGTGTGTGTGTGTGTGGTGTGTATATGTGCATTATATGTATGCTCTAAGAGACTTGAGATCAGCCTAAGCAACATGGCAAGACTCTGTCTCTACAAAAAAATTAAAACATTAGCCGAGTGTGGTGGCACATGCTTGTAGTTTCAGCTACTCAGGACGCTGAGGCAGGAGGCGCTCTTAAGACCGGTAGCTTGAGGCTGCAGTGAGCCGTGTTTGCACCACTGTGCTCCAGCAGATGCGAGAGCGAGACCTTGTCTCAAAAATAAAACATCATGTCTGTGGAAAGAGAGCGAGAAATATTTTGAATGAACATACTAGTGAAAGATCATTTAAAAAAACATCAAATTTCACATTTTAAAATGTTTTAAAAATAACATTTTATGCCAGGTACAGTGGCTCATGTCTGTAAGCCCAGCACTTTGGGAGGCCAAGATGGGAGGATCATTTGAGTTCAGGAGTTTGAGATTAGCATGGGCAACATAGCAAAACCTCATTTCTAACAAAACTACAAAAATCAGCCAGCCATGATGGAGCACTCCTGTGGTCCTAGCTACTCAGGAGTCTGAGGTGACAGGATCACAGGAGTCTGGGAAGTCAAGGCTTAAGTGAGCCATGATTGGGTCACTACAATCCAGCCTGGCTGACAGAGCAAAACCCTGTTTCAAAAAAATGATAATAATAAAAATAAACATTTTTATTAAAATGTTATAAAGATAACATTTCAAAAGACAAAATGGATAGAAAACACTTCATGTTTTAGTCTTTATCATTATTATTAAACAAAGAAACAAAAATATTTCTTTCTCACTCCAGGACTATAACACATCTACTTAGCATTTAACCATGACTGCATAAAAAACAGGGCAATAGGCCGGGCGCGGTGGCTCATGCCTGTAATCCCAGCACTTTGGGAGGCCGAGGCAGGCGAATCACAAGGTCAAGAGATCGAGACCATCCTGGCCAACATGGTGAAACCCCATCTCTACTAAAAATACAAAAATTAGCTGGGCATGGTAGCGTGCACATGCAGTCCCAGCTACTTGGGAGGCTGAGACAGTAGAATTGCTTGAACCTGGGAAGCAGAGGTTACAGTGAGCCTAGATCGTGCCACTGCACTCCAGCCTAGTGCCTGGCAACAGAACAAGACTCTGTCTCCAAAAAAATAAAAATAAAAATAAAAAAATAGGGCAATAAAAAGACAGAAGGCTAGAGAACAGAAACATAAGACAATTCTATAAACATTAGTCTGGACTTCTAGCAGACCAGACTGAGACTAGATAAATCTTTTTTAGGGATAAATTAATCTAATGTTTTTCAAACTTCATGAGGTTGTGATGAAACCTCAGTGTGTTGACATTTATTCATCAGAATCTCACCTGACAGCAAGAAGTAAAAATGTCAGAGTTGACAAAAATAAAAGATGTCTATTATGAAACACATTTCTGTCCATGACCTGGTATTCCTGCATTCTGAATTCCAGAGTTCTGCCAAACAGTTTATAAATTATTATATAAGATTTATCCTATTTCACCATAAACAACAGAAATACCTCATACTTCACAGCAATTCATACTTAGTAAATACTCTCAATTTTGTTACAAGAACCAAGTTATATATACTGTACTTTTAATCTTTCTCATTTACTGAAGTATCCTTTCATTAGTATATATTACAATAGTAACACAATAAAAGGAGAGCTACTGATAAATACATCTGTAAGCCCAGGGACCACCTGAGTCAACCAACTCACTGCCTTTAAGAAAGCTTTTTTTTGCTGGGCGCGGTGGCTCAACCCTGTAATCCCAGCACTTCGTTTGGGAGGCCGAGGCGGGTGGATCACGAGGTCAAGAGATCGAGACCATCCTGGTCAACTTGGTAAAACCCTGTCTCTACTAAAAATACAAAAAATTAGCTGGGCATGATGGCTCGTGCCTGTAATCCTAGCTACTCAGGAGGCTGAGGCAGGAGAATTGCCTGAACCCAGGAGGCAGAGATTGCGGTGAGCTGAGATCGCGCCATTGCACTCCAGCCTGGGTAACAAGAGCAAAACTGTCTCAAAAAAAAAAGAAAGCTTATTATTATTATTATTATTTTTGGTCAAAGGCAACTCAGAAGAACTGTTTTTTGGATACCAGTATTCTTTTTAAAATGCCAAGGACCAGATCAGTACCAAGGAAAGTAACCTACATCAAATTCTGATTCAGGCCGGGCGCGGTGGCTCAAGCCTGTAATCCCAGCACTTTGGGAGGCCGAGGCGGGTGGATCACGAGGTCGAGAGATCGAGACCATCCTGGTCAACATGGTGAAACCCCATCTCTACTAAAAATACAAAAAACTAGCTGGGCGTGGTGGCACGTGCCTGTAATCCCAGCTACTTAGGAGGCTGAGGCAGGAGAATTGCCTGAACCCAGGAGGCGGAGGTTGCGGTGAGCCGAGATCGCACCATTGCACTCCAGCCTGGGCAACAAGAGTGAAACTCCGTCTCAAAAAAAAAAAAAATTCTGATTCAAACCTGTTTATATTTTTTTTATATTCTTCAGAAACCCTAAAAACTTCTCTTGCTTAGATCCATACTAATGAATACCAAGTATCAGAAGGAATTCTGTATTTGCAATTAAGACATTCGTTCAAAGAGGAAATTTACCTTATATTTTTCCTTTTTAATAACCCTCATGCTAAATATAATAGCTGTGCATTTGATTATACATTCCAGAAGACAGAATTTGTGGCCACTCATTTCATATTGTACTTACTATGGTAAACTCAACACACAGCAAGCAATCAAATATGTCAATTGATCATATAAATAAAAATAACACATGCTTACTGAGTTTTGGTAGCTTATCCAGAGTAGAGGATTTAAGACCACAAGAAATGCCATAAGTCATTCCAATAATCAACCTACATCATACTTACCTTCAAAGTAAGCAGATGAAGAAATTATATTAAAATTGCAACTATAGACATGTAAATTGAGAACTGTGTTACTTTGTTTTGTTTTGGGTTTTGTTTGAGATTAGGTCTCACTCTGTCACCCAGGCTGGAATGCAGTGGCCCAATCTCCCATCTCTGCTCACTGCAAACTCTGCCTCCCAAGCTCAAACACTCCTCCCACCTCAGCCTCCCAAGTAGCTGGAACCATAGGTGCATGCCACCATGTATGGCTAACTTTTTGTATGTTTTGTAGAAATGAGGTTTTGTCCTATTGCCTAGGCTGGTCTTGAA